CGCATGCGCGCAGCCCACGTCCGCGCGCCCGCCCTTTCCTCTGCGAGGCGGCGCGGGCCAGGCGGCAGTAGGGGGAATGTGGGGTCTCGCGCGACCGTTAACGGCSGCGGTCGCTTCGCGCGCGTCGGGCAGAACGTTAACGGTCGTTGCGCGCGCGCCGGGCCGGCCGTTGCCCGTCGCGGCCGCTATGTGCGGGCCGAGCAGGCCGTTCACGGTCGCCGCGCGCGTGCCGAGCCGGCCGTTAACGGTCGCGGCGGCGGCGGGGGCGCCGAGCGGGAGCCCCGGCGGGTGGTACGAGTGGCTGGCGCAGTCGGCGCCCGTGCACTGGGCGGAGGAGGGGCTCGTGGCGCTGCAGGGCGCCTCGGCGCTGCCGTGGTGGGCGGCCATCGTGTGCGGCGCCGCTGCGCTCCGCTCCGCCGTCACGCTGCCGCTCGCCGCGCACCAGAGCCGCCTGCTGGCCAAGGTGGGTCCGCGGCTGCGCCCCGGGGCCGACGTGCTGCCCCGTGCCCGCGCTCCGGCACCTCGCACGCTCTTCTCCCTTTGCTGGACCCTGTCCTGCTTGTATGAGAGGCCATGCGGGCACGGCTGAAACCTTTTGGGGTGAGGGGGGTGGTTTCCGAGTCGGGCGTTGCTGCTGGCGCCTTCCCACAGAACTGCAGCCGGGTGGAAGTGGTCCCGGTTCCTCCCTTCTGCTGGGTCTGCTGGCGCTGCACTGGCACTGCTTCTCACAGGTGCAGTCGCTGTAAAGTGTTTTTTWAAAAAAATCGCTATGGTAACAGTGTGGCAATTGAGTTGCCTTGTCTGAGACGAAGTTGATATATGCTTAGGTGTTCCCTGTGGCTAGTAGCATTAAATTAAACAAAAATAAAGTAAAGTTTTAAATAATTTTGTTGCTCTTGGAGGCAGAGTTGAAGTTATTATAAAGATTATATGTTGTCTCTACAATAGTAGAGGGATCTTTATGGTTCTGTGATATCAAAAATGGTGTTTTCTGGATACATTATTTGAGGAATGCCTCTTTTTGTATGCTATGTTATTTATTTTCCAAGTAATGTGGTTTTTAGGGTGTGCATCTCAGCTGCCAGAGCTCAAGTCTGGTGTGGAATCTGATCTTTGCTCTGCATTACAGTGCATACTGTCTGCGGGAAAGGACCAATGGGTGAAGGGAGAAGTCTTTCTTAGACATGGTTCCTCAGTGACTGTCAAAAAGTTTGCTATACAGGATATGTAATTTAAGTTTTTTGTTAAAGCATGTTTGTTTCCATATCAGTATTTTTCTCTTCTTTATCTTTTTTGTCTACAAGAGTGAAAATCTTTTGGACAGGGCTTGCATAATGTGCTCCAGTTAAAGTCTGTTTGAGATGTTATTAAAGGTTTTCAGTTTTGCCAAGTAGTTGTTCGCAGTCTGTGAAAAACAAAACAATGCTCACTAACAGAATACTTCATAAGCTACTAGCTTTTTGATTATTATGGGAAGTATTATTAATTAACTTGGTTATGCGTTCATTTTCTTTTCAGAAAAAAATTATTTGTGCTTGCAATTTACAGTAATTTTTAGTAGACATACAGTACAGCATGAGGAAAGAAATGACTTATTATGGTTGCCTCTTTTATTCTGTTGCATAAACATATTTCCTTTTCTTTAGCTAGTTGGAAAATTTGCAGCCTGAAATTAAGAAACTAGCCGAACGCCTTCGATATGAAGTTTCTGTTCGTGGAAAGCAGCTGGGTTGGTCTGAAAAGGTTGCCAGGTAAGGTGGTGTTTTTATGCACCTCACAAATAGGTTCTACTGATGGAAGGGAGGGGAAGTGTTTCAAGAAGAGGTATTTTCAAATTTAGGATTCTAGAGTTAGGCATAAATACATGTGTAACGTGTAATCAATAGAGTTGCTACTTTGGAAATKTATAGCTTTCTTTTAGGAAGATATTGTGTTTTTTTCTTAAAAGGTTCCATTTTAAGAAGAATCTACGGAGGATTATTACAGAACTGTACATCCGAGACAACTGCCACCCCTTTAAAGCCACTTTACTGATGTGGGTGCAGATTCCAATGTGGGTCTGCGTGTCCCTTGCTTTGCGCAACTGCAGTGTCGGTGCCACAGACTCAAAAGGTGATCATTCTGACACATGCACAAAGCACTCATTTTGTACTTTGCTCGTTAAAAAACAAGATCTTCAAAGCTTGACTTATTAGCTGATCTAAAAATCACTCTTAAATTTTTAAACTCTGCATAGCTCAAGTCGAGCTAAATGCCTATATTGTACTYGCAGTGCTTTGGCAAACAGTGCTGTCCTGACCTTTTGCAGAGGGTACTGGTGGATTACAGAACTGCTAAAAAGCATCACTGAGCTCAGCTTATGTGCTGTCTGTATGTGTAATAGGTTTGTGGGCTTTTAAAATGCCTTTTTAAAAGCAGTAGTGGAATCCGAACTTTGAAAAGAGCATGACCTATATTGCAGTGCTATATTGTATGTTGTTATATCTCCGTACAGCACGGTATGTTGTTACATGGTCATTTAAGTATAGTATGCTCTCCTGAAGGCTGAATTATTGGGGAAAGAAATGCTTTCTTCGAATATTTTCATTCATAAAATTGTGATGCTTAAAAATCAGTACTAGTCRTGCAGCAGTGGGCTGGCTATTAGTCTCTAGCTTTTTCTTCCATGTGAAGGAAAACTCAGCCTGTACCTCTCAGTGCTTTTTCCTTGTTTTAATAGCAAACTGTCTTGACATGTAATCTTTTATATTCCAAATTGTGTACTGTTCATATTTTATGTTTATTATGTAAACAAAGTGAATCTGGTAACCTGAGTAATTCATATGTAATATTTAGCAGTTCTGCATAACTTGAAGTAGAAAATTATATTTAATTGCAAATGCTTTTTCAACTTCTCTTGCAGTACAAGAACAGTTTTCAACAGGTGGCACRTTGTGGTTTACAGATCTCACAGCACCAGATCCTACTTGGATTTTGCCTGTTATACTTGGGCTTATGAATTTGATGATAGTGGAGGTAGGTTGGTGAAGAAAAAGGGACGATTCCAAAAGGATAGTTCTTTTTATGGAATTGTGTTAGTTATTGTATGTTGAATACTGTAGTTACAGAATTTTAAGATCATACTTACCAGTTCTAAAACAYAGTAATGCCATGGTGACTTCAGATTTTGACTGCTTCGTTGCATTGGCCAGAACTGAAACACTGCGTAATTGGACCATGAGTTTCACCATGCAGTTGTATTGTTTAGAGAAAATAAATTTAATATGACTTTACAGAGCTATTTTGTATACTATACTTYAGCCTTAATTACAAGCTAAAGTCTATCCTTTTTAGGCTTTTAAAAATCTTAACTGAAGTTTCTCTTAGGAGAATGTTGTAACAAGCTTACTGGGTTTTAATAATTCTAAAAACATTTTCTTACTTTGTTTCATTGTTCAGGAATAAGAGTTTTACTGACTTGCATTTATGGATAGCTTAGTTTTTGTGGTGCAATGATGTAGATAAATGCAAAGAGGTAGGGGTATGTGTGTGTGTGTGTGTGTGTGTGTGTGTGTGTGTGTGTGTGTGTGTGTGTGTGTGTGTGTGTGTGTAAAAGACACTGATGTGAATGAAAGGTGATGCCCTAAAGGAACAGATGCTATTTGATCAACAAGATCTAAAGCAAATGTTAGCCAGAGAATGACTTGCTGATGATGTTGTGAAAGCCAAGATATTAAAGGACGAGGACGTCAAGATTATGAGGATTTTTTTCCTTCAGACATTTTRTCTTGTCCTTACCTCTGAATGTGTTTTCTACACAAACATGTATTGTGTTTTTGCCTTTGGAAACATAGAACTCTTTTTCTGCTTTGATAAATGCATGAAAAAAATCTTATTCCCAGTAAGAGAATCAGTTTGCTTTCATTCTGCAGAAATATGCAGTCCCAGCATTTCACAGGGTGTTGTGCTATGTACACCATGCACTCTACAAGTAGAAAGTAAACATAACATTTTAGACAGAGTAMTATGTCTCATTTCAAAAAATAGCTTCCTTTTTAATACATTTTATACGTTCTGCGAAGACTTCAGGCACCTCTGTGTAAAACTTGTTCAGAATTGACTTCTGCAGTACATTTCTTGCATTGTAAACATGTATCCATTGCAAACAGAGTATTTACAGCTGTAATATTACTTAACAGTCCAGAGGGTCTATGCTCTCCTTTTTTCATTCTATATTCCCAGACTGAATCCTGCCATAGTGGATGCTGGATGAGAAAAGGTACTTAGGTGAATTTCTAGGAAAGCAAATTCACTGGTGGTGAATTGAGTGATACAGCCACTGGTGGAGTGATACAGCCACTGGTGAATTGAGTGATACAGGCTGGTGGTTGAAATGAGTGATAAAAGTCATTCTGATACAGTGAAAAATCTACAACCTTGGAACATTATCAGGGAGATAAAAGAATGAAAACAAAACAGAAAAAAATGAGTCTTCCCATATTTCTTGATACCTTCATGGAAATATTTTTCTTATTTGTAAATATTTCTGTTCTGATTGAACTCTAGCCATCTGGCTTTCCTTCCTTCTTTATCATAAATCTAATTTATGATAATAAAAGCCAGTATGTGACTGTAGATAGTATTCTGATTTAAGTTATCAACCAAACATTTTATGTTTATGTGCAAAAGCTGCTATGTAAAATGAGATCTTTTGGGGGTGGGTAGTCTGTTAGGTTGGTATGTTTTCTGTGAAGAATTGGGCATCTGAGGCATCAGGTGAGTTAAATTAAAGAATGTATGAGTATTTTGGTTGAGCAAAATATTTAATGAGAATAATAGATGAACTAGAAGATTGATTTAATGAAAACATTGTAAAATTTTCTTTGGTTTTAGTTGTTCAGAAAGGACTACCTTCATATCTTTGCATTTTTGTCCCCCTCTTCCAGATCTTTTCTTTGCAAAAACTGAAAGCTACGAGGTTCCAGAAATTAGCTACGAATTTCTTTCGAGTAGTGTCAATAATTATGATCCCTATTGCTGCAACTGTGCCCTCGGTAAGTCCAGAATCTTAAGGATGTCTCCACTGATAGGTGACATTTTTGGTCCTAATTGAAACATTCATAGCAGTCGAGGGACAATCCAACGACCTGACCTGTTTAACAGACCACAGCTTTGTTATGTTGTGCCAGCTTTGTTTAAATGTGAATTTAAATTCTTCGTGTGTTTCTAATACCTTGATGTAATACCACAAGGGAAGAACCTACAAACTTACGGTTAATAAAGATCATTTTTACAAGATAGAGATCAGAAAAAAAAAGAATGGCTTAGCATCCTTTCTGCATTTTTAGAAAGTAAAGGCAAAGTTTATATAAGGAGGTATAGATGAACCTGCTCTAAGTATTTGCCTACTGTAAGGTACAACTTTAGCTTTGCATGTTTGGGAGGATTTACCTATTTTCTTTGAGCATCTTAACACACATGTTTCTGTTTTTCTACACTATCTTTTTACTTATTTGAATGATTAAGAAATAAGTCTATGTAATTGTCTCATCAAGTTTATTTAAGTGAAACAAGCAAGATATGATTTAATTTGTGAGCTGTTGTCCAACTTGAGTGTAGGTGGCATTTTTTTCCCAGAACAGTTGAGAAAGAGTGAGAAATAGCTTTGAAATGGAAGCTACTATTGCTGTTGAGGGGAGTATATTTAGGTGAGTTATTTTTCTTAATAATTAGGAGTTACCAGTGGCTGTGGTTTGTGAAGGGCTGCCTAGAACGTTAGTGTGTTGGTTGCATCTAGGGTGGCTGAACTCGGTATTTGTCTTGTTGCAGTCCATGGCGTTGTACTGGTTGTCATCRAGTTTCATGGGACTCTCACATAACCTGTTGCTCCGTTCTCCGACCTTTCGTCAACTGTGCTGCATACCAAGGACCAAATCTGACTCAGACACTCCTTACAGGGATATTGTCTCTGCYTTGACTGCCAAATACTGTTTTAAGAAATGATGTGTTTTTGATCTCTTGAAAGAGCTCTCCCCCAGATATAGCATGAGTAATTAAGAAGTAATGTTTTATTGAAATGTACTTACTGTAAAATACTGCATCTGGAGTTATATTTATTCTCTGAATAAAATGTTGACCATCTGTTTGGCTATTAATAATGTTACTGACTAATCTGGATAATCGTTTGGCCCATATGTGTGATTGTTTGGAAGTTTTGTTTTAGAGATACTGTTTTTGTTTTGTTGTGGTGGTTTTTTGTTTGTTTTTTTTTTAAAAGCATTCCAGGAATAGAAGTTGTCCTCCYGAGGTACGGTAAGATGTTGGGAAGGTGAATACTAATTAAAAATCATGTCTTATCTAGGCTCCTTTTTGTAGTGAAGCTCTCCTAGGGACTAGTGAAGAAAAGGTTTCAAGTTGTCAGACTTGTACCTTGTAATGAAACTTCTCTGCAGTATTCTCTTTCACAGAAGTCTGTGCAAGTACACAGTCTACAGAAAATATCTTTCTTTTTCTCTCTTTGTAGAAGCAGAAGTCCGCATAGGGAGCAAAGCAGAGTATGATTTAGCTGTACTTGATAAAGTCAGTACTCATCCATCTTTGACAAGATGAACTGATTTCTAAAGTGTATTTTGGCATTTGACAGAAGGGGTAAGCGCTCAGAAGGAGAGGAGTAGATGGAATGCCAGGCAGGTGTAAAGAACAGAAACAAGTCACAGCAGTCTCCCTTTGTCACAGCAGAAAGCAACTAAAATCTTTTAGTTCATTTCTTTTGTTAGTTTCTTCCTTGTACCACTACCCCCCACACACACACCCCCAGCAAGCAGAAGATGGGACTTTGGTATGGCAATTATGAGACTTGCCCTTAGCAACGTGCTCTAATGAGCCCCACTCTGAGCAGAGGTTGGATTATAGACTTCCAGTGATCCTTTCCTACCTACATGATCCTGTGGTTCTGTTTGTCTAATCTGGAGAAAAATGACAAAATCTATATATCCCTTGTTTTATACACAATCCCTGTGTGTATAAAACACACAGCACATGCTGTCTTCACAGGTGATGCATTGTCATTATGCAGCTCAGAAGAGAATGCAAATTTCTATTTCTATATAGGTAGTAGTGAATTTTCAGCAGCATGTTAAGAAAAACTTGTAGCCTCAAGTCAAATCTTTGGCTCAGTGTGCCTGTTTATTCCTATAAATCACCAAATTGCAYAATTTCTGCTATTTGTAGTTGTGGTTAGTTTAATGACACATTTTTGAGTTTTTATAGGGAAAGGGCAGATAAATTTAAGTTAGCTTTTCTGAAATGTTTAGAATTTAGTAGTAGTAGTTATTGTTTGTTTATTAATGGTGAGTGTAGCACTCTGTAATGAGCTCTCTCAGAAAGCTGTATTGCTCTCTGGAGACTTCAGAGATCATACTCTTGTTTGCCATGTTTTGTGTAGTTTTTTTCAGAACARGAAAATAGATATGTTTTTACTATTAGGTATATTTGTGTGATTATGACTGTTGGCATATGAACTTAATATTTCCTGTAAATTAAAATGTGACATGATTTGCTTTACAATGTTGATATTAGGTCTTGCTAGATGGAAAAATAAGACTATGCAAGTCTGTGAAATAGCACTCTTGATTTTGTTGCGAAAGTTATACACAAAGAATGACTTTGCATTTGCCCTCATAAAGCACAGCAAGGACTCTAGTGTGCTTATTAATCCCTTTATTGCCCAAAAGCAAGCTTGTCTTTGACTAAAATGGCAAGAAGTTGAAGATCTCAAGGACACAGGTGGTACCAACTTTCACATGCCTGATGTCATTGATACCYTGTAACTGTTAGGAGCTGTCTTATGAACTCTCTTACCTCTGTACTTGTTTTCTAAGACAACTAAGGCACTGTAAATTGGGTGGTTTTTTTTCTGAGCAACAGGTCAGTTATTAAGATTCTCTGTTGACAAATGTACAAAATAATTATGGTAAGCAAAGACTTGAAAAGATTAACTAAAGGCCTAGTACCTACAAGGCATCAGATTAATTGCGAACTTGCACAGAGGAAGCTCCCATAAAAATTTTTTTTGTCTCTGCTTTGTAATGTACCTGTGGTTGATTCCATATCTACAGTGTGGAAATCCAGGAAGATAAAACTGTTTTGCGGTTGTAACATTGCTGTTCTTCTCTGGAAGAAGTCCAACTTTTTTCTCATCTTGACCTGTTTTTCTTTTGTTCTTTTTTTTTTTTTTCTTCTGTTGAAAAGCAAATGTATATGGAACTAAGGTTATGAGGTGAACCAAATCCAAATTCATATTAAAAGTAGAGAGGGGAAAAAAAGATCAATTTTAAGATTGTTGAAGAAGGACATGAGACCTAAATTATTTAACTCTCTATCACCTTCCTTGGGAAGGACATCATCCTGGGCTTCTGTGGAGTTTCACATAAGCTAACAGTAATACCAGACATAAAACATGTGATAGTCCTTGTGCATAGACATTATGACAATTGGGACTTCCAGTCCTCACAAATACAGAACATAATAAAAGGTGCTCTCCTGGTGGAGAGCACAGCATCACCCATGCTTCGACCAACCTACTTGACCCAAACGATTTTGTAAAGAGGATTATGTTGATTTTCAACATAAGGTAGGTTTACTTTATATTAACTTACTTGTTTTGAAGATAATAGTTTGTGTTTGATGGACATTTTGGAAAACTACCTCAAGCTAAAAAAAAGGTACTTAGAGAAAACCGTTCTTTTATTTTGAGATGCATCTCAGAGATGATTTAACTGAACTAGATGATAGAAATTTTTAGTGCACTCAGTTACAATTATCTGCAGATCTGCAATTTTCCCGTGAAATGAATTGAACTTTTTTGGGTGCTTGGTTCCAGATCTTGAGGTGACAAAATTCTGTTGTTTAGAATTTAGTTGTTGTCAGAGTAATGCAGCTAGCTTTTACTACAGTTCAGTGTTCTTTGTCTKTGTTGGAAACGTTGACAATTTTGTATAAAATGTGTTTTGTACATAYCACTCAAATATGGGAAGAACAAACCAGAGGAAAAGAATAATTTTCCATTTTTTCCTCCCCGCGAGTTCATAATGTASAAATGCATATGAAATTCATCACTGAGAAAAAGAACTACTTAAGGTTCGTGCGTGGCAGATCTTTCGGTGCCTGGCACAGGGCAGCAGAGCAGACTGGAGGAACTGAGGATGTTTTTGTTTGTGGAACAGTCCAAAACAGTCATAGACTGAAAAGTGTGTATCTCCCAGTAAAGTACTGACAGCTTGTGCTACTGATATGTTTTATTTCTGAATTATATAGCAATAATCCAAGYATAATATAAATTGAAGTGGTTGTTGTAGCCCAAAATACAGACAATAGTTTCTGATGTCTGCAGCAAAATCCGTGCATTTGAGTAGCTACTGAGGTACCTCATTTTGTTTTGTGCTGGCTGAAGAAATTTCTTAACTCTGCAGTTTATCACTGGGGTTGACTGTGGCTCGGATCCCTCTATTTTCTACTTTTGAATAAGTTAATAGTAGCTGTCAGAAACCTCCTTAATCGTAAATTATCTGTAAAACAAAAACACATTTCAAATTTATGTATGTTTAATTTCAAATTTCTGACATATTCCTACAAAAATCTTTATATATAAAAATCCAAAAGACTGCAACTTCTCAATTGTTTTCCTAATATTGAAARCAAAACAAAAACCCATAAAGTAGAAATCAGCTCCATAAACCCTTGGAATCATTTAACAATTTTATGCTGACCTATAAACAGTAGCAGAGATAAATACAGTTCAATAACTTTCTATTCCAACACAGTAGATGAAAACTCTGGGAAAAAAATGATTGTTAAGTAACAACCCGGGCATGACAAACAATTCATGAATTTCAGCCACAAAACTGTCTGAAAGGCACTGAAGAAAAAAGACAGAACAAATACTAAAATAAACTGTAAGACAGGAAGTAAGCTTCCTGTCTTATTGGAGAAATTATTGCCTAGATTGAAGAAATCCACATGCCTCAGACGTATTTTGGTCTTGTCTGAGAACTGATGGCCTTAGCAAGCAAGAGGAAAAAGTTCTTTTTGCCCCCTGAAAACTCCAGTCTTGAGAATAAAGGGCTTTAAATTCCTTAAAATTGTCATGAATTTATGTGTTTTGCTAGTTCTGCCTTCATTTAGATCTAGTGAAACTTGAGGAAAACTATTTTCCAGTACAGTTTCAAACACAGCTAGTTGCATATGTTAGTCTTACTACTGTTTTCCTGGGTAAACCACTTAACTATTTGTTATCTGATGAAATTATAGAAACTTTCTCCTACAGAGGCATTTTAACACTTTGGCAGAGGCTTTTAAGCTTTGGAAAGGTTTCCATGCAAGCATATTAATGGGTCTAATTCATCCCAGTAAAAATAGGCTGCAAGAATAACTRACTTTACAGGTATGAAGACATATAGCTTCAGACTGACAGAGCCGTTCTGGAGAAAGAGAAAATGCAGATGCACTTGCATTAATAGTGCTTCCCTTGAACAGATTTGGCTGGTTTTCCCATGGGTGATTTTTGGATGGTTATTAATTATATAAACATTAGTAGTATAGTTCCATGTGTTGCTAGGGTTATTTTAATGCCAAAAATACATTGCGTGTATGAAACTCCACGCTAAACAAGGCCACAAGAAATTGTATCTAAGCAGAAAACCACTAAATGCAGGTATTCTTCATAGTCTTGGAAACCGCACTGGAGACATGACAAGGTCAGTGCATATTTCCACTCAYTGCACCTTAAGCCAAAAGCAGCTCAGTGCTGCCAGTGCACATTTGTTGTGGAGAAGGCACAAGGTTAGAGGAAGGAAAGGAGCAAAATGACTTACAAAAGCAGGAGAAGGACGGTTTTTCCATTGTAGCAGGAGAACAGCTTGTTTACAAATTTGAGAAAGTAACAAGGGCTGGTGTGAGGAGGCTGTCATGGCTTGGACTCAGAACTGTTGTAATCAATCCCTTTGAGGAGTTGCAGCAGATGTAGAAAAGTCTCTAGGTTTTGGAGGGTGTTAGAGATCTTCCTGTATGTCAGAGTGTCCTTATGTGTCTTCTGAAGCAGTGGGAAAAAGAGGATTTCCAGAGATTGGGTGAGTTTTAGACTGGTAAGCAG